TCCATACCTTATAAAATAATATTTATATATCTAATAATATACTATTGTAATCAAATATAAAAAAATTTAATTATCAAAAATCTTGTATAAATACTTTTAGAAATTTATATCATCAACCAAATAAATTTTAATTATTATCAGAAAATTTTTAGATATGAAAAAAAAAATTTCACTACTGCAAGCCCCATAAAGGTATTCATGATTAATCTCTATTTTTATGTGAGCGAAAAGGAGAAACCCAACATTGAAAGGGTGCGTCGCATCACTTAACTAGTTTTGTTTTAGAGCCCTTCACCCTAGTCTATGGCCATCACTGAATAAATAAATCGACAAAAACAAAATATATTAAAAAAAAAATTAAAACAAGGTCCGCAAAGTTTAATATTTTATGTAATAAACATAGGAGTAACATATATTATTTATTTTTTTCTATTTTCTTTTTATTACATCATCAATTATACTTACGTTTTTTTTTTACTAAATATCATTTTTTTATGGTCCTGAAAAATTGCTAAATGTCATTTCAGTTGGGAAGAGAGTATCAGCCGAAAAAGAAACGATGACGTGGCGATTTGCTGAGAGAAATGGAGGTTGCCGTTTGTTCTTTATAAAAGCAGCAAGACTTGTATTATATAAATATTTTTATTCTAATTAAAAATGCGTATAAAAATATATAAATTATAGTGTATCATCTTCTATATATTAAATTATATATTAAATATAAGTAATTATTTTTTGCAAAGTAATTTTAAGAACAAGTTTTTAATAAAAGTATTTTTAAAAAAAAATTTAACTTCTTATTTTAAAAAGAAAAGCTGCAGACATATAATTAATTTTTAAACATAAAATTTTTAAAAAAATTTATACCATATTTAATGATCATACATTGTCAATAAAAATTAATTTTATATTTATCAATCAATAAAAAATTATTATTATTAATTTTTAAGATAAATTTTATAAAATTTAATAATAAATATAAAATTTTTATAATTAAATAATATTATAAAAATATTTTTTGTAATATTAGAAAATAATTTTTTACTCATATCTAATATTTTAACACATGCAATAGATAGATTAATTAATGTTTATTATATATAAATAAAATTTAAAATAAATCATGTAAATAAAGAAATATTATGTTTGTATATATAAATTATGTTTAAAAAAATATAAATATATATTTTAAACATATAAATTATATTTTAGATTTATAATAAATAATTTATATTATAAAAAATATTTTTATTTATTGAAAATTTATTTTAAAATATTAATATTTAATTCATAAATAATTATAATAAATAAAAATTAAATTAAATAAGAAGTTAAAAAAATTATAAACTCTTTTGTTGAAAATTATTTTTAAAAATTATTCTCATAAAATATCAGTTTGTATTTAATATATGAAGTAGATTAATTATAGTAATTAAAAACACGTCCATTTTCTTTGACCAAATTCTAGATCTTTTAAGAAATAAACGGTAATGTTTGCAAATTTTCTCAAACAAGCTTGGCAATTTTTTACTTTTATTTTGGTTGTTAATTTGCTAAGTCGTTTACTTACTCAGCACGAAAAATGAGGGTTCCACACCGAGCACGTTTGGTGGCACGTGTCAGAACCTCATTTGCTGAACAACATGTTCTTTTGTGGATATAAATCATAGCAAACAAAAATTTCCATTCCCATTTACCCCCGTCACTTATCCCCTGAACGCGTCGGATTGGGTTACTTAAATCGAAGACATAGTGGCATTAACGTAGTTTCGTGGAAACGGGAGGGTAAAACACTAGAACCTCGTACGCACGCGGTATATACGAGGAATTTCAACGCGGCTTCTCTCCTACGTGGTGAACTCCATAAAAATTGCGGGCGCGCTGAGCTTCTCCACTACACTACTCTTCTGTCAACATAACTTTCTCTCTTCATGCGCTATTCTTTATTTGCCATGGACCACAACATCTAAACAAGCTCTGAATTATTCCGTTGATTCTGAAATTCTCCTTTGCTTCATTTCTTTATAGTTCATACCGGGTCCTTTCAAGTGTTTTTTTTTTTTCTTTTGGTTTCGTGGCATGGACTGTTGTCAAGGGGATGGTGTGGCGGTAGTGTCTCTGAATTCGCTTCCGCTAGGGTTCCGATTCCGACCCACGGACGAGGAACTCATCGATTTCTACCTTCGAAAGAAGATCAATGGTAACAGTGGCGAGGTTTGGGTTATCCGAGAAATTGATGTCTGCAAGTGTGAGCCTTGGGACATGCCCGGTATTTTTTCGCTCCCAAATAACTGATTTTCGTAAAAATATAAACTTTTTTTATATATAAATGAAAAAATGTGAACTTGATCGGACTGTATAATAATTTCTCTTTTTTATTGTAGATTTGTCGGTGATACGGAACAAGGATCCGGAGTGGTTCTTCTTCTGTCCACGGGACCGTAAGTATCCAAATGGGCAGCGATTGAACCGTGCGACGAATCATGGGTATTGGAAGGCAACGGGGAAGGATCGTAACATAAAGTCTGGAACCAATTTGATTGGAATGAAGAAGACTTTAGTTTTCTACACTGGTCGTGCACCCAAAGGGAAGAGGACCAATTGGGTCATGCACGAGTATCGCCCCACTTTGAAGGAGCTTGATGGTACCAATCCCGGACAGGTACATTTCATTACATACTGCTACTCATATTTTCAATCGCATTAGGAATTAGTATTTTTTTCCTTCTATGAACATGGGCAATGGGTGTCTTAAAGCTGTGACCAAACATTATTTTAATAGATCCTGTAATCTATCCTAAGAAATTAGTATGAATGAAGTGATGATGGTTTTCAATTTGTTCTGTTTCAGAGTGCTTTTGTTCTTTGTCGCTTGTTTAAGAAGCAAGATGAGAACCTTGAAGTTTCGCCCTGTGAGGAAGCAGAGGAGTTGCAATCTGATCTGGCTGTTGCTGCAGTGTCCCCCTCGCAGGTTACAGAAGATGATAAGGATCAGCTTACTATCCCTGCCAACTCTGGGGAAGCAATATCCAGCATTGCAACCCCACATGATGCTTGTGATGCACAAACGCAAATTGTGGCACCGGCTGCAGAGGTTAGATGGTTATTGTTTATTGGTACTATTTATCACTGGTTTGCAATGGTAATACGATATTTAACATATATAGTTATTTTTGGTCATTCCTATTTAGACGTTAGGATATTTAGAGGATCATTATTAAAAGTAATTTCAATCTTTATTGGCCAGAGTGAGCTCAATGTCAATTTGCTAAAAATCAATGTGTCTGTCTTGTAATTATTAGAGAGTTGGAGCCTACTTAAAATATTACTAATAACATTTATTGAAACTCGAGTCAATTTTACAACGTATATATATAGGTAAATAGATAAACAGGTAGATTTGTTTCTTCTATTGTTTTCAATTTTCATTACCTGATTTGATTTTTCATATTGGAATTATTGATCGAGTATCTAATAATGGTTGATGTTATCTACAGGTGTTTCCGCCATTGAACTTTGACATATATAATGACCCAAAATACGAGCTATTGGATGACAGAGTATTCTCCCCTGTACTTGCACATATTCAACCGGAATTTAATTATCCAGCAAACAACGAATTAGATGGTCAATTTGGGCTTCAATATGGTACAAATGAGACATACATTTCAGATTTTTTGAATTCAGTTGTTAACTGGGACCAATTCCCCTGTGAGGAGCCCAAATATCAACAGCAGCAGAGCTACCCCTCCTTTAATGTTAATGATAACGCATTGGGCAGCGACATAGATGCTGAACTTGCCAATATGACAGTGAGTAACAACTAACAACTCTTGCACTATTTATCTTTTGGTTAGTTCTTGTGTCTCCTGTTTAATGTTAGTCTTATTGTATGCTGCAGTGTATGCAAGTTTCTAATGTTGAGGAGCAGAAGAGCAATGTTGGGTTATTTCTAAACAATTCCGACATAGCTTTTTCTGATGTTGGTATGGGGCAAGTATACAATGTATTCAATGATTATGAGCAACCAAGAATCTATAATACAGTTGCTAGTGGGGATACCGGAATCATAACGAGGCCTCGAAAGGTACCATATGAACACCTGAGCACAAACTCAACACAAGGTACTGCACAGAGGAGAATTCGTTTGTCAACCAACACACATGGCTCATATAGGATGGTGAAAAGTGGAAGTTGTGCACAAAAAGAGCTTACTTCTAAACCAATCATTGATGTGGTAAGAAGTTTGTTTGTTTAGCTCGTAGTTGTGGGTCGAATGAGAGTTTGTCTTTGCGTCTTAATGAGATTTGGTTTTCTTTTGTAGGAGGAGAAAGCTTCAGAGAACCATGCTTCTGATGAAAGTGCTATTCTTACACCTGAGTCAACCAGCAATAGAAAGATTCATCGACAAGGTACTAAAGGAGGTTCCACCTGGGGATTAAAAGACATTTTATTGCTCAGAAGGGTGCCTTACATTTCAAAGTCTTCCTCCAATCGCACCACATGCTCTTCAGTTTTTGTAGTTTCTGCCTTTGTAGTGGTTATATTAGTGGCCTTTACTGACATATGGGGATATCTTAAATTTTAAACTACTAGAAGATCATTCCTTTGTTTTTTTGCCTCCATTTTGTTTTTTGGGCGGCCTATTGAGGGGAGGCATGTAGGGCTTACTTAGATTTGCTGATAGTTCAATAATTATGTGAGTGCATATATTATATGTATGCTTGCCTAGTTGGCTGGTCTGTAGACTCTGTTGTAAATTAAATAATAAATATAGTTTTTTTCAACTTTATTCTCCTCCTTTTAATTTCGTTGCGTCACAATTTCGTATAACAAAGGGTGAGTAATAGGAAGACAAAATTAACTTACATGTTGAACATTCGGACGGTGTTGATGATTAACAAACAAATTCTCCTCTGTGCAGTAACTTGTGTTGAATTTGTGCTTATCTATTCATATGGTTCCTGTCAAATTTCATTACATCGCAATTAGTGTCAATTTGAACGTTGAAAAAACTAAATTAAATCATTTAAAAATAGTGAGAATAAATTGAATCTAAAAATTAAAAGAAGGACAAATGTGTAATTTAACTAATTAAAAGCTATGTAATGCTTGTGCCTTGTAAAAATTTGAAGGGATGTGAAGTTTTGTTTTATAATCTTCTTGTTTCGATTTTGAAATCCAACCTATTTCCTAGAGCACTAAACTAATTAGTGATTGCCCTTTTTTTTGTTGGTCTTTGAAACTTCAAGTTTTGGAATTTTCCATTAGGAATCAATTGATTTTTAAAACTCGTTTAATTTTATTTGAAGACAATGCACTAATGTTATGAATTTCATGTAAGATAAAGTGATGACATAATGTCTATCATCGAACCTATCATAAGAGTCATGTCATGAAGGATATAAGAAGAGTGAGCTTGTGATAAAGATAAAAGGTCTAAACTCCTATTAAATTATAAGCTTGTTTCTTAGCCTTTTCTCTTTTAGTGTAATTTTTACTTTGTTCATATATAATTTTTTTTTATTTTGGACCTTGTATTTTGGTCATATAGTGTAGGTATTTTTATCCTTATATTATTTTTAATTTGAAGGTGTAAATAATAATTTAGGAGAGGTGCAACTAGAAAATGTCCATTGTTATTGATGGGATTGGAAGTGGGCTGGATTTTTTCTTGGTGACCCATGGCTAGGATGTCCACTTGCACAAGCAAGTGGCTTGGACGACCAAGACATGTGGGGACCACTTGTCCCACTTGTCTCTCTAAGCATCCAACATGGCACATGGCCTTGTCAGCTCACACTAAATATACATGTCACATGGCAAGCGCCTAATGGCTCTTATAGATGTAGGATGATGATATGAGCTACACTTTCCTTACTTGTCTATATGACAAGCTTTTATTGGTCATTTTAGACCTAGAAGTTTGCACTTGGAGCTTGGTTGGCCGAATGGTTTAGCTAGAGTTAGGATTAGTAGTTTGAGTTTAAGTTAACCTAACCTAAATTATTTATAACTTAGGTTAACTTAACTTGCACCACAAGCTACTAACTTTTATATAAACACTACTCCTTATATAATTCATCACTTTGAGCATTTTATGAGAAAAATTCAAATTTTCTCTCTACTAAAGTCTCATAGTTCTCTCTAAAGGAGAAACTTCTTCTTAATTTCTTTTATCAAAGAATCTTCTTTGTGGCAAGAAACTCTTTCTTGCTCATCTTCCTACAAGGACATGGCACACGATTCCTCTCCTCCTCCACCATTTTTGTTTTGGTTGAAGTTCAAGAACCCTTGGAAGAAGATTGGGAGAACTACTAGAAGCTATTTGGAGTGAAGCCTCAATCATCCTCCAACTAGTTTCATCATAAAGTAGGAAGTCCAATGTGCTAGTCACGAGAGTGTCCTTCCTACTTCAAGTTGTCAAACTATGTCCGATTTGATTAACACATCTAGTCAATTTGTTGATAGATCAATTTTTGTATATCTTTTTATGTATTGTTTTTTGTTTATTTTATTAGTATCATATTGTGATATATTAGCTTTGATTTGTTTTGGTGAGTTATTTTGATCTTAGTTGTAAATTCTAATTAATTTTCGTATTTTTCTTTTTTTGATATTATTTCTTGTGCAGGCCATATTTAGAGCTCCCAACATCGAATTTGGACATTCTTTGTGTCCTTGGAAAGATAAAAGAGAGTTTTACAACTTTTTTGTTGGGAGCAAAGGTCAGTTCGAACATTAAGTGACGCAAACATACGTTGCAATGTTGTAATCCGACATAGTATTTTCTTTTTCTTTTTAGATTGTAATGTTAGGATTTGTTTAATGATGTAATTAGTTGACTTAGCAAGTTAAGCCTTTTAAATAATTTGAGTAGGCCCACTATATTTATCTATTAATAGGTGTTGTAAGACTTGCTATGTATATTTTACACTTTACACTCATTTTTCAAATTTTAGAGTTGCTTCCACTATAAGTTTCTTTAAATTCTCTCTTCTTTCTCAGAATTTTCTCTTTACATTTTTCTACACAAAGGAACTGTAGCATCTTGATGAAAGTGTGTGGGTAATTCATTCATTAAATTCGAGGTTTCATGAATTACGGTAAAATTTGAGCTCCCAATTTATTTTTATCATACAAATTCTCTTTGTCTTCTTTTTTCTAGATCTATTTTCCATTCTTCATGATTATAAACTTTGATTTAATGGATCTGGATCAAATTTGAAGATTAATTTTGGTTTTAGATATAGATTTATATCTAAACCTAAAATAACCTAAATTGTCTAAATCAACCATTCACCATTCTTAAATTTTAAGGAAATTATGAAATTGCGATTATGTTTCATGTTTTTGTGAAATTAAATAGATCTAGATTTAGATCTATATTTAAATTATATTCATGTTGATTTAGGTTGATTGAATTTGGATTATAATTTGAACCGTGAAAATTTTATCATAACGATTAAAACCTTAAATTGATGTAATTTCTAATAGAATTTTCCGATTAAATTTTCTGTTTGTGTTTATAATATTCTAATTTCTCTTTACTATTCATAAAAATCACTTTATGATAATTTTAGATTTAATTAGCTTGTCTCTTCAAGAAGAATGACTTAAGTTATTTTCTATCTTACAAATCTTTGAAGAAAATTTAATAATTTTTTTATAGTAATTCGATAATGTCATCATCTATTTATAAAATTTGACTAAATTTTAATAAAAATGACCTAAATAGAATTGAGTTATTTTTGTTCGATCTGACTAACCTGATAGGCTAAATGACCTTAGGCTAGGTTTGCCCGTAGACTTTAGATTGACCCAATAAAAAAATTAAATAAAAAATTAATTTAAGTGATATACAATTAAGTCGGGCCTCCATAACTCTATATTTGGGTCACTTGAAAATTAAGAATGAAAAATCAATGCAGCAAATATTGTAGCCCAAAAGTCCATTTAACTTTCTTTTCCTTGAAAAATGTATCTACTTATTTACCAGGCCTGTCCCATGCTCAATTTGGATTGCTGCTTGGACCTCAATTAGTTATAGGCCAACATTTGCTATAGTGTGGGCTTTTAAAATGTTTTTTTTATTGAATATTCTTATACTTATGCATTATGAGATTAATTCTTAAAATTGGAATATAAGTTCTGTTTATTTAATTTTTTTCATTTAAAAAAGTATTTTTAATAAACTAAAAAATTATTTACTTTTTAAATGCATTTCAAAATTATTTAAAAAACAGTATTTTAATAAAAGATTTCTATATTTATAAACATGTATATATATTATGTCATTTTAATTTATATAAAAATATAAATTGATTTATATCCTTTAAATATTAGTAAACCACATGGAGATTAGGCAAGTCAATCAACTTCCGTCCCGAGTTCATAAGTTTGAACATTGCTATCATCATTTAAATTCTTATTGATAAAAAAAAAAAAAAAAAGTTTACTTCTGTCCCACCTTCAACTCACTGGGATTGGCAAGTTAGATTAAAAATTAAGGTGGATCGGTGAGTTGAATTACCTAGTACACCTCACCATTTTTAATTAGTTAAATGGGTTTACTCGAAAAATTCAATTTATTTTGTAATGTCTAGTATTCATCCAAAAAAGAAAAATAATGACACATCATATACTTACCTATCTAGCTGTAAATTTCTCATACATTATGTAATTACTTTTAAATTTAATTAAATTTTATAAATAAAGTAATTTAAACAAAATAATAAAAGTTTTTATTATTATTGACAACTATTTTATTTTATTAATTAAATAAGAATAAGTTCAAGAGGTATAAGACTTTTGAAATCCAAGAAAATATTAATGAATAAATTATTTAAATTAAAATGCATCATTTCGATTTCCGAGTGATATGATCTGAGATATGTCAAATAATTATAGTAATCTTAAAATACTTTTTTTTATTAAAAACATCTTTAATTTAATAGTGGATATAAAAAAAATTATAAAGAATAAAAAACAATGTTTATTCAATTTTAAAAGTATGAAAAATAAATAAATTTCTTTTATAGAAATCAAAATCAAAACTAAAAAATTAAAAGTATATTTAAATTTAAATATAAAAATATCACATTCTGATACGTATCTATACTTTTAGAAATAATATTTTTTTAATTATTAAAATTATAATAAGAACACCATAATTCAAATC